CAGTCCACATGAAGATATCATGGTTAAAGGGGAGAATGCAGGCTTCTACATTCAGGAAAAGCTATAATCTCTAACACACACCAAGTCTTTAAACCAACTCCATAACTAGCAGAGATGCCTGTGAATAACAGGCCAGCCATCTAATGTTAATATTTAGTATTGTGGAGCAATGTTTGAATTATCCCAGAGTTCACCACAGAGTATACCCAGTTATCTTTTTAATCTGATCTGCGTGGCCATTTTTTACCTCATTACGTAAATCATTATGTAAAGGACCAGATAAATCAAAATGCAAATCTTGCCAAAATTAAAAAAAATGTAAATGATGAACATAATTCCAAAGTGAAAATAGAATGGGAATCAGTATCCTCTAAGGCTAGTTAATCTCTAAGCGGCTGAGAGCTGCTTCTGCTGAGGATAAGGTGTGAGAGTTTCTTTAAAAGAATCTATTGTGATTCTAATGGCACAGTCACCAAGAGTTTGACTCTTCACCGATTCTTAAACATTTTCTTTATTAGTTGGAGAAATCAATGGCATTTTGTTGGGCACAATTTAAAATCACATCCAGGGGCGCTTGGGTGGCTCAGTTGTTAAGCGTCTGTCTTCGTCTCAGGTCATGATCTCAGGGTCCTGGGATCGAGCCCCGCATTGGGCTCCCTGCTCCGCGGGAAGCCTGCTTCTCCCTCTCCCACTCCCCCTGCTTGTGTTCCCTCTCGCGCTGTGTCTCTGTGTCAAATAAATAAATAAAATCTTTAAAAAAAATAAAATAAAATAAAATCACATCCAAATACTTTCACAGAACAAGGTGATATATGTATGGAACCAGTGAGAGACTGGGGATTCTTTGACCACATTCCCAAGTTGAAACATTCTCCCTTTCAGCCTTTGAATATGATAAACTCATTGATTCAAGTAGCTGTGGGCCAATGAAATCACCCCTGCAAGATCCAGGACGAGGAAGTGAGGGCTTACAAGCCATTTCTTCCAGGAGATGTAGTAGACTGGTGATTTTAGTATGCCTGCCCACCATACTCTTCCTACCTCCCTCTCTTTGTTGTAAAAGAAAGTTTCTTTATCAAGGGTAATCTACTCCATGACCCCTCTTCCTCACCTCAGGGTTTCCATATGACCCATGCCTGTCTGGTGAGAGTATCAAATCTTCCTAGCCACAGTGATTGAGTCAGGAATATCCAGGTGAGGGCGCCTGGGTGGCTCAGTTGGTTAAGCGACTGCCTTTGGCTCAGGTCATGATCCTGGAGTCCTGGGATCGAGTCCCATGTCAGGCTCCCTGCTCAGCAGGGAGTCTGTTTCTCCCTCTGACCCTCTTCCCTCTCATGCTCTCTATCTCTCATTCTCTCTCTCTCTCTCTCAAATAAATAAATAAAATCTTTAAAATAAAAAAAAAAAGGAATATCCAGGTGACCCAGGGACTTTTGTTAGAACTATCATGAAAGAGACATGCTTTTCTTTTTTTGTTTTTTTATTTAAGGACTCTCTACACCCAATATGGGGTCCAAACTCATAACCCTGAGATCAAGAGTCACAGGCTCTGCCAACTGAGCCAGCCAGACACCCCCCCCACCCCCGCCAACCCAGCCAACAACCCCCCGGGGACATGCTTTTCCCTATGGGATCGCTAGCTAATTTGCTGGCACTCTGAGAGAAATGACTTGCTGAGAAGAAAGCTAATACAGAGGAAGGCAGAGCTCAGAGACAGTGTCTTAATAAGATTAGTTGTATCTGGTAAGGCTTGAAGCTAAAGGTAGATCTGTGAAGTACATCTCCAGTTTCCTAAGCCAATAAATTTCCAAATGTTAGGGACCCGAAATTTGAATTGAATCTTTGCCACTTGCTACCAAAAGAGACTTTATTATAGAGAGACTTGCTACACTTCACTTAATTCTGTTGTCCATGTCCTTTGATTAATTCCACCTTGGATAAAAGGAGTAAAAAGATCTTAAAAGTGTGAAAATATATGTAAGCAATCAGTACACTCCTTGCAGGGGAGCATAAGGTATGAGCAAGTCATCCAACTTCGTAGGAATCCAAATTAGGGCCGGAAGGAAGAGAGGAGTCCTGGGCATACACCCACAACCTTAGCCCCTCTGAGGTTGAGAGAATTAAGGGTGTGTATTCTACCTTTGCCTTTAAGAAAACTCTTCCTGCTGACAATTGAGATCAAATGTCTAAACTTTGCATATAGGCTACAATTGTTTTAAATAATAAACATTACATTTTTTATTTGCTGTGACACAAATATAAAATAGTGTGTGAATTAGAAATGTATACAATGAAGGGACGCTGGGTGGCTCCATCAGTTAAGCGTCTGCCTTCTGC